TCCAAAATTTATCATCCTTCAACGAGCGACATCTAAAGCTTTGCTTAATTACGTAACTTTTAGCTTGCAGCATCGGGGGTTAGGTTTCAGATAGCATAGTTCTGTTCCAAAATTTATTGTCATACAACACATGGCCGTCCAACCATAGGCTGATTCGGGTGGATAGCTAGAGGTCAGCATAGCCCAAGCCCACAGTGCGATTCATATACCTTCCCAAGCGTAATGCAGCTGGGAATCTTCATGGCTTTTGACACAAAGCGCCCACCACAACAGCGATGTTCAGTCACAGGCTGGAGCGCATACAGGCTGGAGCACAACAGGCCCTACCGCAACAGCTACTCCTAACATAACCTAACCTAACCTGTGCCGCCTGTTGCGGTAGGGCCTGTTAAGTCCTTCGGTTGCGGTAAGTCCTTCTCATGAGTTGGCGAGCATTGTTATATTGGGCGCATTCAAGTAGAAAGTGGTCAATGGTTTCATCAACATTGCAAGTGTTGCACAGAGGAGAGTCTATCATTGAAAAGCAGTGCAAGTAGGCATTTACCCCAGCGTGTCCAACTCGAAGACGGGCTAACACGATAGATGCTCTACGAGATCTTGCATGTATCCATGGTGCCGGCTGCAGGCTTCTGCGGACCAGCAGAAGTCGTCTTCCTTTTCCAGTCTCATTAACATTCTGTAACCAGTCTCTTAGTGGGCATATGCTTTTTCTGAAGCTGTATGTCCAGCACACCTGGATCTATAAGATCGGCTGACTCAGGATTTCCAGCCATATGGCTTGACTGGAATTATAGTCACACTGAGATTGCAAGGCAATGGAACACGTCTTACCTTGATCACAGTTCAAACGAGACCACATGAAGTAGATGTACCATCAACAAGTTTTGAGCGCGCTGCAACTTCTCCACGCGACAACATTTCTTCTCGGTTCGAATCACCGACATGTGGAACAGCCTCCTCCGATGACATCATGACATCGTTGGCGCTCCAAGTATGAAGTTATGAACGCGTTCAAAAGCAGAATAAATAAAACTATGGAAAATATATGTTCAGATTTGAAATGCCTAGAGCACCTTATCGAACCCAGTGGAAGTCGAGTAACTATTTCAAACGGTAATACTTTAGATTAAGTGCATCCAAAAAAGGGTGTTTATTATATGTTTTTTGGGTGTAGATTAAGGGTCTGAAATCCGTTTTTGGCGGTCGACATCGGAAATTTTTAATGGAACCTGTTCCTAACTGGACCTAACCTGCGAGGTTTTCGTTGATTGGCTAGGTTTTTCCGGCCGCCGGATGGACCCCAAACTTAGAAAAAAACCTATTGGCTAGGTTTTTTCCTGCCGCGGGACGGACTCCAAACATAGAAAAAACCTAGCCGATCAACGAAAACCTCGCAGGTCAGGTCCAGTTAGGAACAGGTTCCATTAAAAATTTCCGATGCCGACCGCCAAAAACGGATTTCAGCAGATTCTGAATCTACACCCCAAAAAACATACAATTGAAAAAACACCCTTTTTTGGATGCACCTAATCTAAAGTAATACCTTTCAAACTATCGTCAGTCATGAAAAGATTTGATCAAATGACACGATTATAGATCTTCTGTGAACAAGGCACGAAAAGGAAAAGAATCGGCGACAGGCCACATCAGGCCTACACTTCAGCGCCGAAATCACGATGTTAAGTTAACTTCAACTCGTAAAATTTTCTAAATTCTTGTCGCTGACGACTAGTGACGAGGAATCGCGGATTCCGTGTTTCTCAAGCCTTCTCTGCGTCTGCCAACAGGCCTGCTGGCTGCTGCCCCCGCAGACGTGGAGCTACATTCAGTACATTGACGTGTCTCCTAAGCTCCAGTAATCATCAAACAAGAAGAACTGGCCTGCTGGACACGATGAATCATGAATGCATCCTCTCAACATATTCTTCTCTCTGAATTCTGGGCGAGGGCTGTGTTTGCCTCTAGCATGCATTCCGTATTAGGTAGGTATTTACATCTTTCTCTGTCCTTTCCCGTAATAGTTACCTTATGACGGAAGATTTTTCTAAATGGAGTAACGCTTCCATTCGCGAGCACATAACATAGTGATAGTGATGTCGGCGCTGAAGAGCAGGCCTGATGTGGCCTGTAGGCTGTAGCCGATTCTTGTACTTTTCATGACTTGTTCAGTGTTCACTGTTTCACATAAGATCTAAAACGTAAAATCGCGTCATTTGACCGGATCTTTTCAGGACTGACCACCAAGCACTGACGTCTGACGATAGTTTGAAATACCAACTAGCCTACCTAGACTTACACCGGGTTTGATATACCGTACTCACGTCACATATAGTGCTAGGCTAGGCTGCTATCCTGCTAGGCATTTCAAGTCTGAACATACCTATATTTTTCCATAGCTTTATCTTAGTTTGTTCTTGAATGTGTTCATACTTGGAGCACCAACAATCAAGTTATCAACAATGTAGCTAGCCTAATTGGGATTTGGGAAGGCTGTTCCTGGAAGGCTGGAGTGTTCCACATGTCGCTGTTGGTGTCACTTGGTGATACGAAGCAAGAAGAAATGTCCCGTGGATAAGTTGCAGCTGCCACGTACCACGTATCAGCCCAGTTAACTAAACTCTCCAAGATCATCTTGCAATTGTGCTTTATTAGAGTTAATTAATTTATTTGATGCATCATTCACCTTCACTGTATTATAAACTTTTGTGTCATTGGCAATGGCACACATGGAGATTGAAGATTGGAGCACACGCTGCACACTAATTCTGGCAGATCGTTTATAAAAGCAATGAACAAAATAGGCCCAAGAGCACTTCCTTTTGGCACACCACTGCTGGCACTGCACAGTGCACACTGAAGCCCAGTCTGACATGGTTCTGTAACTTCTGTTAATACTGACACGTAGTGATATAGAAGACGTCCAGAGGCGAGCAACAAAACTCTTGGCATCACTAAAAGACAAGCCCTACTCAGATAGGCTCAAGACGTTGAAGTTACCATGCTTGGAACACCGCCGGCTGAGGGGCGATATGATTGAGGTTTATAAATACCTACATGGCTACTATGATGTTCGCCTCGATAAACATTGGCTTCATCTGCCTACTCTCTATGCTCCATCATGCCAGAACTAGACACTAACTTTTTTTGCAACCCAGCCGCCCCCGAATTTTGCTAATATTACAAAGTTAGTATAGTCTCGGAGAGACGAACAGGTCTCTGAGAAAGGCCTCAAGCGTCTAACTTGTCAAGTCAAGTCAAGTCAAGTTGTTGTGAGTTGTCTACGTACTAGAAAATCTCTGATCTATTGGAGTACATTTCTCTTAATTCCCAAAGACTTCTCTTTACACAACAGCTGCTCATGCAGAACACAGCCAAATGCTTTGGCAAAATCAAGGTACAATGCATCCACTGGTTTCCTTTTGTCCAGCAGGAAAGTCCAATTGTTCAATGTAGATAATAAGTTAGTGGTGCAGTATCTACGGCAATAAAACCATACATTGACAATCTGATAGAAGATGGGAAACAGTCAAGTGATTGATAATCCTACCTAGGTATTCCTCACAACAGATCCCATTACCTTGCAAACAACACTTGTCAGACTGACCAGAGCTACTTTTCTGGTCTTTTGTCACCTTTTTTGAACATTGGTGATACTTGAGCTTCCTTCATATCAGATGGCAAAGTTCCTTCCTTCAAGGTTTTTTGAAAGAATACTGTCAATGGGCCGGCCAGAACGGTTGCTAATTCTTTGAGCAATCTGGGATGGAAACCGTCTGGTCCACATGACTTGTTGGAATTTAGAGCTACCAGGCGCTTGAGAACCTCTTCTTTGTGTTTTTCAAAACCTGTTAACTTTGAGCCGACTGGGCGCTCCTCAATATCTGGAATACTGTTCAAGTCCTCATCTGTGAACACACTGCTGAAGAACTGATTAATAACGTTAGCCTTGCCTCATCAGAGGAAATCTTCCATTGGTCTACTTTATAATCAGATATACCATCATTTGTCTGGCACTTTGAACTAGCGTACAAAAAGAAGGCTTTTGGATACTTCTTTGCATTTATAGCAATATTTGTATCAAAAATTTCCACTGATGTACGACAGACGTTTTAGCTTGATTTTGAGCTCTTGCATACATCTCTTGATAGTTCCTCTCCCACAGGCTGACTCCTTAATTCCTTCACTAAGGATGAGGTTATGGAACTCCTTTGACTTCCCTCATCAAATAATAGACTCAGACACGCATAGTGGCAAACCACAAATTTTTTAGAATAAGTTCATTTTTAATCTGCTCATCAGTTTAAGATTTAAATCAGTGTCTTAACTCTTAAGTCTGGAAATGCTGATATCTACTATCTATGATACTTCACTGGTCAACTGTCACTGTTCTATGGTACTGTTCAAGGCTGGCTTGATTCTGAGCTTCATACCTTTGCCAGCAGCATCTTCATCAAAACTTCATTGGTACCGGTATGCCACTATGCTGTCACTGGGTGCTATAGCTATACTGATAGGTGGCTGTCTCTGGCCCCTGGGTTAAGGTTGCTTGTTTCATGCGGTTTTTTTACTACAAAATAAGCTGATGGGACAGTATACAATTCACACTTGAAGAATATAAAATGTTCATGCTATAGAATGAAGATACTGTTTATCTAGCAGAAATCTAATGGTTCCATCTGAAAGAAATCTTGTGATTCAAAAAATTGTAAGAAAACTATTGAAGGCCTGGTAAAGTCTCTAGGCAGCTTTAGAAAGCCTGTCTGAATAAAGATACCTATACTCATAAAGCTGCTAGTCCATGACTGGATATTTGAGTATTTAGTTTATTAATTATTACTACAAAAAATCTCAGCCATTTATTCATTTTTTTGGCATAAAGGCATTAAAATATAGCATATCCTTGTTGAGAAATACATATGTTCCATGGCTAACTTGAGAGTTTGCTTTTTTTCTCTCATAATTATGATCATTTTATATTATGAATGGTTCAACCAACAGGTTTTCAGGAGAGTGAGATTTTTATTTATTATATTAATATTAGGCTCAGGCTTGGTTTAACCAAAATCAATTCAAATCCCATGAATATTTCATGGTCTGAAACTTATCTAAGACTTGATTCTTCCGAAATTAAAGAAATTGCTTCAATTTGTTCTCTCCCTCCTTGTGAACATGCGCTGCTTGAAAATACATCAATTCCTTGTATAGTTCATAATTTTTCCTGCTGTTCTCATTGTCTGACAAATGTGATGTTTAGTTCTATGAATTATCTTCAGTCAAAGTTGCTGCAGGACAGACAGCTGAACAATGGGTGCTATGGGAGCTCGTTCTCACGGCATCACAAGCCCTGCTAAGATCATTGCCAACGTCTTCATATCTTTCATTGGCGCAGGCATGTTGGGACTGCCTTATGCATTCAAAGAGGTCAGTCTAGGTCTCAAAATTTGTTATTTAAATCTGCTTACTGATTGTAACCATGAGCATTGTTCACTAAAAATTAACAATGAATACCTCGCATTTTTTTTAACTATCGTTATATTGGATTGATTGACGTGTAAGAACACTTGTGCCCGGTTGCATATTATATAATAAATATGAATACATGTTAGGCATATGACCAGCTGTGTAAGAGCTGGTGTGTGCAAGGCTGGCAGATCCTATGTGACTGAAACTGTTTTAATGTTGCGTTTCCTAGTTTAATGAATGCTTGAACTGCACTGGAAAATTCAGTAGTTCATTTAAAAAGGAAGAAATAAATGACTGTATCTAAATGCATATTAATTGATAGATAAATATTTTCAAAAATTCATAGTCAGTACAATTTTTTAATGCATTTTTCATTTGTTCATTTTAAATGTCTAAAATCTATTTTTATCTTAGAAAAGTTTTATTATAAAATGAGTCAATTAGTTTATATATACAGTTTATATAGACTGTATATTTATAGGTATGTATTTTTTCAGACAATGTTGGTTGATCAAAATGCAGGCTCAAGGCAGTAATTTAATTTCATTAAAGACATTTTGAATGTGACAACATTCATTTTCAAGTTACAGGAAGCATTGAATGCAGAAATTTTAGTGGAAATATGTACATGATACACATAAAAATGATACAATATAAAAATTTTGAACCCTGAAAATAACTCCGAAACACTCTAAAAATTTAGAAAATCCAGTAGGTAGTTGTGAGATGGATAGCTGGAGTCCAATGCCAGGAGATAACATCTTCAGCCATCGTCAGTTGGATGATGTCAAGCCACAGCAAGATGAAGATCTGTTGAGTTACTCCAGCACAGAGCAAGTGACAGCCTCATTGAGTTTGATGTTGTCAAGGGGGTCACAGAGCCTATGGTATTGAATTCTTTGTGGATTTTGAGATGAGTTTTGTCAATTGCAGTACTTTGCGACCTGGTCAAGTGGAAGCTTGTCTCAGGTGGCAGGATGAACATTGGCTCAGTGTTGCAGTAGTCACTCCAATGTGGTCAAAAAAAATGATTCCAAGGAGGTTGTAGACTTCTTCATTCATTTCATAACATAATTTTTTGTATCAAAATGTCTAACATTTTTACGGCATAATTTTTTAACATGTTATTAACAATGAAAATGAGGCATATTTATATGTTTTATTGTTTATTGTTGCTGCTAATTGATAATTTAACCTTGTACAGATATTTTTGGTAAATTTTTGTATCTATAACCTAACCTATAAATGGCAAACCTCTCTTACTTCCAAATAGGCCCAATTTTCGGTACCCATATGGCAGGTGCTAGTGTGACAGAAACTTCCCAAATGCTTGATGTTTCCAGCAGTACTGTCTCAAAAGTAGTGACTGCTTTTGAAAGTGGAAAAAAATGTCCTACAAATTGTGAGGGAAAATTGTAAGACTGCGGCTGTTAACATTATTGCAAACCTCAATGGACACCTACAGAGCCCAGTTTCCATAAAGATGGTCTGATGAAAGCTATACAGATCTGGATTCTATGGAAGAGCTGCAATTAGAAAACTTCTAGTTTCAAATACAAATGCTTCAAAGTTTAAATAATGTAAAAACCTCCAGAATAGGTCCCTCAAGCAGTTGGAAAATGCAATTTTTTCTGATGAATCATCTTTTACCTTATTTCCAACCTCTGGCCAAGTTTATGTTTGGTGACAGCCAGAAGAGCTATTTAATCATGAATGCTACCTCCCAACTGTGAAACAGGGGATCTTTGATAATCTGGGGTGTTATTTATTGGAAATCCAGCAGACCAATCATTTCTCTTCGTGAAAGACTAAACAGCCATGACTATTTACAAATTTTGGAGGGAAGTTCATCCAATGGTTCAAGCCCTATTTCCAGAAAAAAATGCCATCTTTCAAGATGATAAAGCCATAATTCATGAAGCTGGAATTGTTAACAAATGGCTGGAGGAACATTCTAATGAAGTTGAGCATCTCATTTGGCCATCACAATCACCCGACCTGAATATTAGTGAGCATTTATGGTCCATTGTAAAAATGAAAGTCAGAAGTCAATTACCACTGCCATCATCTTTAAAAAAGCTCTAGGGATTTTTATCTGAGGAATGAGTTGAAATTCCTTTGGAAACAATTTTTAAATTTGTATGAATCAATGCTTCATAGAATTAGTCAGTTATTGCCACAAAAGGTGGACCTTCACCATGCTAAAATATATTTTGTGGATTTATCAGGCGTTTCCCTTATTTTGTCTAGCTTGTGTATGTATACCATAGGTTTGAAATTGAATGTTGTTTGAATTTTGAGTTTCTCCATCCAAAAATGAATGGCTAATGAATGCCATTTTATCAGGTGTTATAATTGTTTAGGAAGATTGTTGGTATTTTATACTGTCATTGTTGGATGAACTTCTGGCCTTAAATGGTTGATATGTTTGTTTAAATATTGATACAATCCGCAGGCTGGTATTGTGGAGGGAATTGTGGTGATGGCTGTGGTGGGGTACCTGAGCACAGCTGCCATGCTGATGCTCATAGACTGCAAGTATGCCATACTGGCGGCACACTCCCCCAGGGGCGGACAGTCCTTCAGCCTGCACGGCAAGAAGGTTTGTTTAAGTATTGATTAATTAAAATTAATTGATTAATTGAAATTAAACTTTGAGCTGACTAGCTTGTACATGTCTGCATTGCATTGATTGATTGCTGCTGGCTTGCAGATAATTGATCTCTTTTTAGTGCATTTTCTAATTTATGAAAAAAATGCACTATTGTGCTCGCCATGTCCATCTGTCCGTCCATGACTTCATGATTTCGTCAACGAGAAAATGCGCTCTCTGTCACTCACTGCTGTGAGTACTGAGTTATATTTTTTTTAACCCATTGCATGCTTTATACCCATGCAGTATGAAGTAATGTGATATTCTTTATTAATTCAATGTTTATCCTGTCATAACAAACTATCTTTTTTAAGCTATTCTGAGTGGCACATAGAATTTTAAATTTAAATAAACCCTCTATATATTTCTACCTATTAATTCACCACTTCCATCTCTAACTTTAGTCCTTCCCACTGAGAAAGGCATAGGATGGAGGCTTTGGACTTTCATAGAATCTGAACTCAAAGCAACGGGTTCAAGCTGCAAATTTGTAGTTTTCATGTCCAGATATGTGATACAATAGCAATTCATTTAATAGTCCAGTTCTTGAAGTAAGGTTTAATGCATGTGTTGTTGTGCAGCAACCTATGCCCAGTGACAGACCATTTCTGTTCAGTTACAGACCATGTCTGTTCAATTACAAACCATTTATGTTCAGTTACAGACCATTTCTGTTCAGTTACAGACCATGTCTGTTCAATTACAAACCATTTATGTTCAGTTACAGACCATTTCTGTTCAGTTACAGACCATGTCTGTTCAATTACAAACCATTTATGTTCAGTTACAGACTATTTCTGTTCAGTTACAGACCATTTCTGTTCAGTTACAGACCATTTATGTTCAGTTACAGGCCGTTTCTGTTCAGTTACAGACCGTTTCTACCTATTAAGGCACCACTTCCATCTATATTCCTATAGTCTTGATTCTTGCAGTAGCTCCCGATACTCCAGTTCCATCATTTCTCACAAGGAAGTTAGACCTGTTGTAACTCTCACACATAATCGATTGCAATCAATATTCTTTGTAACTAATGATATATCCCTACAGGTACTCTTTCTAGACAGGTTCTCCTAGAATACCTCATGGCTTTTTTGTCTCAAAATTGAAGAGCTCTACCATAATGCTCCTGAATAATCGGCAACAGGCCATGGGCCTATTTCTTCAGTGCCGACACTTCTATTCTATTCTACTCTATTCTATTCTATTCTATTCTATTCTACTCTATTTTATTGTATTGTAGGGGGCGCTGCTGGGGGGCGACAGCGCTGACGAAGGCAGCGGCGAGGACGATGACACGGATGCCGCGGTGCTGATGCGGGCCGCTGACGTCACCTACGGCGACCTCGGCCAGCACGCATACGGCACGGCGGGCAAGCGTCTTGTTGATGTGGTGGTCGTAGTCAGCCAAGTGGGTGAGCTGACAAGCGTCTTGTTGACGTGGTGGACGTAGTCAGCCAAGTGGGTGAGCTGACAAGCGCCTTGTTGACGTGGTGGTCGTAGTCAGCCAAATGGGTGAGCTGACAAGCGTCTTGTTGACGTGGTGGTCGTTGTCAGCCAAATGGGTGAGCTGACAAGCGCCTTGTTGACGTGGTGATCATCAGCAATGTTGCTGACGTAATGGCTTGTGTGAGGTCATTTGGATTTTTTGTCTCTGGTGAAAAATTAAGTTTAAACGATGTTAAGATTGAATGGTTTTAATGATTGAATGGTTTTTAAAGTTAAGATTGAACGGTTTTAATGATTGAATTTTTTCAAAATTAAGATTGACCGGTTTTAATGAGGATTATTAAACATTATTATACTACGAAGACGGTATCGCGGCTTCTGGTTCAACAGAACTTATACTGTGGATCCACGGTATCAAAATTTGGTTGAGCTTTGAGCTAAGCTTGACCAGAAACAAAGATATAGATATTTTCAATAAAAGCACCTCTTACCACAGCCTCGCCCGCAAAGTTAACTAAAACAAGAACCCCTTAGCGATAGTTACACGCTGTAATCTTGTCTTAATATGCAATTTAGTCCAGGGAAGAATGGCAAAAAAATTCAAGGGATCAAAGGAGCTGAAAATAAACATTAATAACCACATTAATAATTGCTAAAAATCTCAGTCATTGCAAAATAGTTCCATTATTCGAGAATAAATGAAAAGAAACTAATTTTTATAACAGTGCTTCTAAAACCAGGCCATTATACCCATTCACGATGAGAGTATATATATAATAAGATAGATTATCCAATACAGTACCTGATACTGCTCTTCCTATACAAATTTCTTACGAGTTCATTTGATTGTTCTAACAACACAAAGTTTTTATTATTCATGCAATACCTGAAAATTTTTAAAATAAATTAATCTAAAATAAGTAAAGGTGTTTATATTTCCTCAGAGTATAGCAGACATGAGCATTAACTCAAAACGAAAATACTTAATAAATTTGATTAAATAAAATAAATTTAATATATTAAGCTAGATGCACATGACGTGAGATATGCCCAGTCCCATGTTTGCTGGGTGAGGTCTGATATACTATGACATCCGTCGTCTGTTATTTAATACATTTAATTAAATTAGATAAATTTAATATATATTTAATATATCGTCTGTTGTGCAGGGTTCTGCTGTGGGTACCTCATCTACCTCAGCAAGAACCTGAGTGTTTACTCATCGCTGCTGACCCAACATCAGTGGTTACTTCTGCTGCTGCCTCCTCTCTACCTCCTCACTCTACTGCGACACCTCAACAGTCTGGCCTTCTTCAGGTAAACCTTTCTTTAAAGTCAAGTATCAGGTATAAAACCCTGGGGCCACACTTTCAAAACTCGCTAAGTGGACGTAAGTTCTTACGCTCTATTGTCTTGTGTATGGTTGGTGGGTTTTGCTTGAAAGGCCGTCAATGATTGGCTGATGAACTTACGATCTCTTAACTTTTTTTTGAAAGTATAGGCCCTGATCTTTATCAGGTCAACTGCCCCTCTATACTCTCCACTCTACTGGCTTCTCAGCACCCTTATATTTTGGTACACTGCTTTAAACTACCTCATTTTTCATCGCCACAAGACTCTGCTTTTTTTGCGCATTTTCTCATTTATGAAAAAAATGCACAATTGTGCTCGGCATGTCCGTTTGTCCGTCCGTGACTTCACGTTTTCGTCAACGAGAAAATGCGCTCTCTGTCATTCACTGCAGTGAGTACTGATGTATTTTTTTGACAAACTGCCCCCCCCCCCCACACAGTTTACATGCCTCCCCATGCACCCTGTTACAGCCCAGCAACATGTGTCATCAGTTGCTGGGCTCATCCCGCTTTCTAACTCTCCATATATGTCCCATTTCCTTATATATATTGTACTTTTTGACTGTTGAGCATTCCTTGTAGTTAAGATTAGACCCATACCTATTGTCTATTAAGTGGGTAATCTCATATTATATTGGCCTCTTGTCCATTCAGTATGCTCATTGTCTATTAAGAGAGCCCTTATCTAATAAGTGAGCATCTTTTTCATAAAATGGCTTCTTTTCTATTACAGAACTCTTTGATTATTAAACTGGCAGCTTGAAAATTAGGTGGAGCTTTTGACTATTGAACTAGCCTCTAGACTATTAGGTAGGATATTTGACTATTAGGCTGACTTCTTGACTGTTAAGTGAGTCCTTCGACAAAAATGATTGTGCCTTTGATTTTCAAGTTATCCTTGACTCTTAAGTCTTAAGATGTCAGACCATAGCGCAACATGTACAAGAATTAGCATTATGCTCTGCCACTGTCATGCTGATGCACCACCTTCGACGCATATCATGCGCCGCATACCAACGACAACAAGAAATGAACCAAGCCACCCTAGGCTGAAAGCCATGACTTCTCCAGCCATCTTGGTGCCGCTACCACTGCGATATGGTGGACAGAATATTACCACCTCCTGACTTATGGCAACCTGCTCACCATTAAATGTGCATTTTTGACTTCTCCTGGCTTATCATTGTTTTCTTGAGCTTTTTTTTTTTTCTTTGACGTCTTAGCGTGTCTCTTGACTTAATAAAAATTGTACATTGACTGTAAAACTTGTCCGTTGTCTATAAAACTTGTTCACTGACTGTTGAAGCTTTACACTCACTGTGCAGGTACTTCAATAATTCGTTTGACTCAATTTTAATTAACCAAGATGGTGAAAGCGAAGCAAGTTCACCATATCTTGGTGGAAACAATGAGTATTATTTAAAAGCAACATTCAATGGTGAGCAGGTTGCCATAAGTCAGGAGGTGTTTGAATCAGTCTTCAGTAACCCTCGCTACACAAGGGAGGAGAACGAAATCGAAGTTTTCCAGGAACTACCAGGAGGAAGGGGGTTGGAGAACATTGAGTTTGGGCCAGAAGATATGGAAATAAGTATCAAAGAATTGGCGACGTTTTCAGCACCAGGACCCGACGGAATTCCGGCAGTGCTGTTGAAGAAGTGTGTTGGAGCACTGAAGGCTCCGCTCACAATGCTCTGGAAAGCCTCGATGATGGAGGGAATTATTCCTGAGGGCCTTAAGATCCCGGACTGTCCAGTAATGGGAAACTACCATCAGCAAGTGACAAGCAACAACATCTTGCATCAGCGTGCCCAAATGAGGGCTAATAGACGGAACACGTCCAACGTTACATCCGACGACGACTCGGAGACGGAGGACGACGAAGGCGGCGCATCAGCATGACCGTGGACTGCGACGTCCTAAAGCTCATCATAAGGTCATAAGGTGGTAATATTCTGTCCACCATATCGCAGTGGTAGCGGCACCAAGATGGCTGGACAGGCCATGGCTTTAAGCCTAGGGAGGCTTGCCAAATTTCTTGTTGTCGTTGGTATGCGGCGCATGATATGCGTCAAAGGTGGTGCATCAGCATGACAGTGGCAGAGCTTAATGCTAATTCTTGTACATGTTGCGCTATGGTCTGATATCTCAAGACTTAAGAGTCAAGGATCACTTGAAAATCAAAGGCACAATCAATTTTGTCAAAGGGTTCACTTAACAGTCATGAAGTCAGCCTAATGGTCAAGGTTCTTACTTAATATTCTAGAAGCTTGTTCAATAGTCAGAGCCCTGCTCGAATGTATATCTTGTAGCAATGAAGTTTATCATGTAACAAGAAAAGTATCCTATGACAATGGACTACAACCTGTTACAACAGCTTGTATCCTGCAACTGTGGAGCTTGTCTGGAACATGTTTGTGCTCACTTATCTTTTTAGCTTGTTCGCACTCACTTATCCTCATGTCTACAATCTGCGCTCATGTATCCTCCTCTCAGCTTGTTTGCGCAAGCCTCCAACATGTTCGCACTCGCTGTCGTCTTCTGGTTTGACTTCGCGCACTCAGAGGCGGTGCCCTTCACCCCGCGGGGGATGTCGCTGGGGGGCCTGCCTTTCTTCTTTGCCGTCGCCATATACTGCTACGAGGTCAGCCTTTGACCCTGTGGGAGGTGTGGTTACTATACATCAGTGAACTATTATTATGCGCTGCATTATAACAAATAATAGTTACAATGTCCCTGCAACAAATAATAATTACAGTGGAAATTTAAAAGCGAAGATAACACCACAAAAATTTAGCATGTCTCTATTGAAAACGTTTCGGAGACCAGCTCCATCGTCAGTTCGATAAATCTAAAACACAAATAAAGTCAGAAAATTAAGTAATAAATTTTGGAGTGAAAAAAAAAACACAGAAGTTAAAAACCTAAATCTACAGAAAAAGGGCAGAATAATAAAGTATGTACCCATCTATTCACAATTTCTAATAGTTAAAAACTATAGGCAGCATTTAAACTAGGACCAGCTCCAAATCTTTGACGATGGAGCTGGTCTCCGAAACCTTTTCAATTGAGATATGCTGAATTTTTGTGGTGTTTTCTTCGCTTTCAAATTTCTAGTGAATCTGCGATTAAATCAATCTAGTGTCATTATAATTACAGTGTCCCCGCTTATCAAAACGCTGCTCTGATGCCATTCTTCCCCCTGCAGGGGGCGGGGCTGATCTTGTCACTGGAGGGGTCGGTAGGGGGGGCGCTGCGGACCAGGTTCAAGGGGGTGTTCGTGGGCACCATGGTGGGCATCACTGTGCTGTACGTGACCTTTGGGGTGTCCGGCTACCTCTCCTTCGGGCCACGTGAGTCTCGTACCACAAAATATAATATTAATCTTTATTATCATTAATACATATTGTTTATTATTATTGAGCCATAACACAACTACTTCTAGTATTCTTTTAATTTGTCTACCCTGAATCCCATACTCCCGCCCGTTATGTCCTGCGAAGGAACATCCATATTAATACAAAATGTCTGTCTGTTTGGAGTTTATGCTGTGTGAATGATAGCTATTCTTTCCTCACTGTATTTATTTCACTGCCTACCTCCTTTATTTTCATGATGTGAAGTTGTAATAATAATATTAATAGCGGTTTCAGCGTTTATTAGGCCGTAGGCCTGTCGCCTGTCATGTTCCCCAAGATTCTTCTAGACTACCTGCAAGAATTGATGTTAGAAGCTACGGCTGTCTGTGGCAGAGGGTCATAGAAGTACCGGTACTCGATAAATATCTGCCATATCTCCATAGGTATATTTTCACTATATATCTGCCTATATATCTCGCGCTCCCATTATGATTTCTGAAATCTCCAAGAAACTGCTAAGCGTCCTGAATTTTGATTTTAGTCACGTGGCATCCTTGAGTCCGAAAACTGGCTTCCTTTCTTCCAACTTCTCTAAGATGGGAAGTATGATGTATGAGTTTGAACCAAAGTTCCGATGAACATCGCTTCCAAGTGTTATATGGACTTTGATAGGAGATTAATGACTTTCATTTACAAGTATTTTAAAGTATACAGATGCCGGTGTTTTGTCATGTATGCTGAATTCACTAAAATGTTCAATAGTCAATAGCGGAGGACATATAAAAACACTTGAGTGAATCTGAATGGAAAACGTTCCATCTTTGTCTCGTTATTGAACGCATTGATGAATCAATGATGGAGCTGGTGTCGTGAGCGCTCTATCAACATTAGCTTGTCTTTTTAGCGCATTTTCTCATTTATGGAAAAAGGCGCTATTGTGCTCGTCATGTCCGTCCGCCAGTCCGTGACTTCACGTGACAGAGAAAATGCGCTCTCTAGCACACGCTGCAGTGAGTACTGATTTATTTTTTACCATTTCTTAGTTCTTAGCTCAACCACTTCGCTACTAAGTTCCATTAAGCTTCCCGCTGTTCCGAGGCTCAAGCATAGTGCATTCAAGCATCCTGCATTCTTGGGGACTGAATTTGCCGGTGTTGGAGTGATGCAAGTAGGAGGAACCACGCTGCAGTGTTGGCTCTTTAATGACTTTTGGCTTTAATCGATTGAATAAATTTTTCGTGTTTGCATGGCGATTCTTGTGATGGACTGCGAATGTTTGGAGCCCATTGGCCTCATGTCTGATGATGAATAAAGATGTATTGTCAAAGGAGATGTCATGCTTACATGTCTCGTGAATGATCAAGTAATTCAAAGCTTACCATTAAACTGCTCATTTTAAATGCAGCATCCTGCCACATCTCATTCTTTGCGAGAGTCCACGGTGCTTATGTAAACCTAAAAAGATATTTCTGCGACCCTTATTTAAATCAATAGTTGTAATAAATGTTCTTATGAGATTTTGATTGTTCAGACACGCAAGACATGATCACCCTTAACCTGGCTGGGGGGTCTGGGTGGCTGGACCTGGCGGGGGTGGTGAAGATGTGTCTGGGGGTGTCACTGTTCTTCACCTACCCCATGATGCTGTACCCCGTCACCCACCTCCTGGACCTGTCCTGCGGCCTGCGCTCTACAGCCACTGGGGTACACTAGTTATTTCTTGTTACTAGCTACTACTTACTAGTAGGGTACACTAGTTACTGGTTACTGCCTAGTTACTAGGGACTACTAGTATGTAGGCAGTCATTACGTGCATTAAACCATTCAATAAATAAATCACCCTAATATGTGCATTAAATTGACGCCTAACAAGTTGAACTTATTCAAGTTTACTACTCGTAGATTGGATTAAAAAAAATTCAATGAAAACGCCTAATAAATTAACCATATCTTCATCACAAACGTTGCGGAAGACCAGCTCCACCATCTGCTCACCAACTAGAGAAAAAAAATTCACTAAAAAGTTCCATTTAAGTTACTGAACTGAAGATATGGTGACTTTTACGAATGTTTTATTTCTGAACTGAAGATGTCTCACTGGACGTTTTCACTGAAGATATGGTGACTTTTAACTTGATTGTGATCAAAACTTGATTGTGTTAAAACAAAACTTGATGTTCTAACTTGATTGTGTTAAAACAAAACTTGATGTTCTAACTTGATTGTGTTAAAACAAAACTTGATGTTTTAACTTGATTGTGATGATGGTGCAGAATGTGATGCGGCTGGTGGTGGTGATGGTGAGCGGCGTGGTGGTGGTGGTGATCCCGAACTTCAGTATCCTGATCAGCCTGATCGGTGCGACCTGCTGCAGCCTGCTGGCCTTCATCCTGCCTGCCTTGTTCCATCTCAGGATCTGTAGAGCGTAATTATCCTACGGCAGGTCATATGATGACCTGCATGACAGGTCATGTGATCACCTGCATGACAGGTTATATGATGACCTGTTAACCTGCTGCAAGGCAGGTCTTGAAATGACCTGTTTCACTGCTACAGTAGCATGTCGCAAAATAACCAGCCAGGCTCACTAACCTGTAATGCAGCAGCAGGCATCACTAGCCTGTAGTGCAGCAGCAGACATCACTAACATGTAGTGCAGCAGTAGACATCACTAACCTGTAGTGCAGCAGTAGACATCACTAACCTGTAGTGCAGCAGTAGACATCACTAACCTGTAGTGCAGCAGTAGACATCACTAACCTGTAGTGCAGCAGTAGACATCACTAACCTGTAGTGCAGCAGCTCGCGCTGGTGACTCGTCTGATAACTTGCATTACGTTGTGTCATGTTGGCCCGTCCTGTTTCGAGGTGCTGCCGTCTCTGAGATGTCTTTCTTAAGGAACCGTCTCTGAGGCTCGTTCCTCAGGCTTGGTCCCTTAGGTTTCGTCCCTAACGTGCCGTCCTTGATGTGCTGTCCTTAACGTACCGTCCCTAACGACCGTCCTTGAGGTGCCGTATCTAAGGTGGCGTCCCTATCGTGTAGTCCCTAAGGCGCCGTCCCCACGCCGCCCTCAAGGCGCCATTACCAAGCATGTCTCTGTTGCAGGCAGCTGACACGGCGGCAGCGCAGCTTGGACTGGCTGCTGGTGGGGCTGGGGGCGCTGGGTGCCGTGGCCGGGGTACACGACGTCTACACGCGCCTCGGGGGCACCGTGCAGCTCAAAGAGCTCTCCCAGCCCTCCAACCCCTCGCTCCTCCTCACCAACGCGTCCATCCTCCACAACCACTCCTCTCTACACCACAACTCCAACTCCTCTCTACACCACAACTCCAACTCCTCTCTACACCACAATTCCAACTCCTCGATACACCACATCTTCAACTCCTCTCTCTCCAACGCATCGCTCGCCCATCTCGATAACTCATCTCTGTCCCACATCACCAACTCATCACTGTCCCACATCACCAACTCATCACTGTCCCACATCACCAACTCGTCATTTGCTCTTATCACCAATTCATCACACTCACTTATTACAGCCTGGGCTCCCGTAGTATCTGTCGGGGGCAATTTGCTACATCCAACCTTCCCCTCTTCTCCATCCTTCCCCTCCTCTGCATCCTTCCCTTCCTCGGCATCCCTCCCCTCCTCTGCATCCCTCCCCTCCACCGCCGCCGAGAAGCCCCCCTGACCTCCGACCCCGTGGTCAGCCCTGGCTTCGTTAGCAGGCCTCAGCGTCAGCGCCCCCGAAGCCTTCATGAAGCGCTGACCAAATCTTGAACTGTTAGCGTCATTGATAGCCAACCTCAGCTCGTGTGCTGACTTACCTGTTATTTTTGTACTGCATTTTTTTACCGGGCCGTGTGAGGTATACGCCATATTTATATGGGACTGTGTTGGGGGATTGTGGAATATTTATACGGGACTGTGTTGGGTGTACATGTTGCAGCAATGTTCGATGCATGAATCTAATTGTTATGTCTGCGTGAACTTTAGTTATGTGTGCTTGTAAGTATGTTGTTGATGTTCTTGATGCAAAACTTTCTGGTGGGTTTTGCCTCTGGTGCTTCATGCTGCGTTGCTTCTGATTAACTAATGCCTTAAGTTATTTACACGGGTCATTCTCTAGTAAACCTCTCCTTCGGCTGGAGAACTACCATAAGATGTTGCTGACGCTCAGACGTCAGACGGCAATTGATCTAGTCATTGTTTACTGTATTTAGGGATGTCTTAAAGATTGTAATACCAGATGGAATCAGCGCCCTTCTTGGTGCGAGTTGCTAGAGAACTTGCCGCGAGCGTCAGGCTGTTAGGGTCAAGAGATAAGCGTTGCTGGGGAGAGTATCCTGCGCGACTCTCCTGCCTACACACCTAGATGTTGCTCCCGCTTCCTGCCTGATCTGCGTGTCAGGAGGAGTGTAGGAGGTGACGCCAGCTGTCGGCCTGACCTGCGTGTCAGGAGGAGTGTAGGAGGTGACGCCAGCTGCCGGCCTGACCTGGTGTGTCAGGAGGAGTGTAGGAGGTGACGCCAGCTTGCCAGCTGCCGGCCTGACCTGCGTGTCAGGAGGAGTGTAGGAGGTGACGCCAGCTGCCGGCCTGACCTGCGTGTCAGGAGGAGTGTAGGAGGTGATGCCAGCTGCTATCCTAATGGACGCCATGTTTAATGTCGCTCCAATAAAGCGCATCAGTCACTGCGCGTCCCGGCCGTTCATGTTAGTTTGAAGATAAGGTACGAGTTCTTACGCACAATATAATCTCTGCAGAAAAATGCGTGACGCTTAGGTAAATTCTTTATTAGGAGTGATATTCGTCACGTGAACCAGGAACACTTAATTAGTTCAAGGACGTTCGTATTTACTTGCTGTGCAATCGTCTTCTGCTCAAGAATTGTGATCTTAAAAGCTCAATGCGGCTTACTGCATAAATTCAATTCCAGGAAGATTAAGAATGTTTTTTGTAAAGTAGGTACTGTTATTTATGTGAAGAAATATTATAACTATCATGGATCGCAACAAATGAGTGAGATGCCTTACCAAAGTTCATATATTTTCATAATTTTGACCTGCACTCTGAATCAGGCAGCTATTGATGATATTTTTAACCCATCGTCTGCAAATAAATTAGGCTCCGTCTATAAAATTCCTATTCCTATTTAAAGTCCCTGGCACGGAGAGTTGCCGTCTAAGGGCTGTAGTATTGAGCGAGCCCGCCCTGTCTTGCTTTGATCTGTTGGTTGATGCGAGACAGGGACCTCCATCTGTCTTGAACAAAACATGTCGCCCATCTGTGCATTAGTATTTGTATAATTAATTTGCCTAAATCCCAAATTAATCCCGAATTTGAGAGCTAAGAAAATGTCAAGTTATTTCACGCGATTTTCATTGAATATGTTACCGATACCAGCTACATCATCACTTCAAAACTTTAGGAAAACATGTATAGTCAACAGTGCAACTAAAATTAAGCGGAAGAGATTAGAACCTTTTTATGAAATTTTGATCGAATGAACGCTCATGAAATTTGTAATATATGCGTTTTAGCGCATTTTCTCATTTATGGAAAAAATGCCCTATTGTGATTTATGGAAAAAATGCCCTATCGTCATGTCCGTCTGTCTGTCTGTCCGTCCGTCCGTCTGTCTGTGACTTCATGTTTTCGTCGACGAGAAAATGCGCTCTCTGTCACTCACTGCAGTGAGTACTGAGTTATATTTTTTTAATAGCGTCTCTTATATATGGATGTTATATCTGCGCAGATACGACCCTCTCTGTAACAATTGTGCACATCGACAAATTAAGAATTGCGACCCGTAACTACTACACGAGATCTGAGGAACACTGCGGAGTTATCATTGTAGAGTTCTGCCAGCTCATCCACCTCATTCTGCCGTACTCCTTCACGCTGGAAATTGCGACATTCTTGGTTTCAAAAACAATTTTGAATTTTTGTGTGCCCTGGGGCCTCGAATTGGAGGGTCACGAACCGCAGAATATTTTCAAACGAAAACCTTGACAAATTGATAGTTATAATTTGCTTGAGCATTTTAATCGATAAGTATTCGATTTTCCCTGACCTGTTTATCTGGCTAGTTGGTTTTTATTCTCATCCGTGTTAATTTTTGATTGCTGTTTATTATATTCTTGAAATTTGAACTGTGAATGTAGCGCGTCTCAGAAAAATTTTGAAAGTTATGGTGGCTTACAAGCCTTTTTTTTTTGCTTTCAGGTGCTAAGTTTTATCAATTATGTTGTGTACACTGAATAAGTCTCTTATTCATAATTTAAAGCGCTTTATTTATATATATTTTAGTATATTATTGTTTATTTTAATATCGAGTTGTATTCACAGAGGTTGTATTCAGCAGAGTTGCTCTGATGCTCCATAATTTAATGGTTGTTTGGCTGAATTTTTATCTGAATGGTTGTGGGCGCTTGGAATATATTAATAATTGGCCATATCGTTAACTAACGCTTCTGTCGTTGCCAAATTTTCGCGTAATTAACTATCGAGATACTCGTTTATACTTGATTGTTAAATTGTCTACGATATTAACGCCTATATTTATTGTTGAATTGCCACACAGCGGGGCGATGGAGGCGGCTGTAAGCTCCTGATTGCCATTCCATGTTGCTTTGTTTGTTGTTTACCTGTTGCTACAATGTTTGCAGCAATGAGAAGTTTTATACAATATTTATATGTTTACTATGGAATTGTTTTCACCCTGACCATGAACTGCAGAATGCCGCCACCGCAGCGGTGGTCGACGAACGAAGCGAGAGAAGTCGGTCGCAAGTTTGTCGATTCGACCAGCAACAAGCGATCGAATACAACTAGCAACAACAGGCCACATCAGGCCTACACTTCAGCGTCGAGATCATTATGTTATGTTATGTTATGGGCCGGATTGCCTCAGTCTGGACTCTGGACTGAAAAAGCCAGTTTCTCATAGTGGAAAAGGGCCTTCTGAAAGGTTGAGTGAGCAAGCTCAGGAAGGTTGCGGGTACAACCTAAACAAGGTTGTGGATGCTGTTTAAGAATGGTTAATAGGAGGGGGCACAAAGTAGAGCGCTGAATTACTGGTGCGGAGTATCAGGGTAATAATGTCTCCTGACAGCAATTCGTCATTGAATCCCTTCAGTGGAAAGTAAATAAAAACGAAAGCAATTAATTAACATGAATAGTCTCATTAAAAGCGTGGTCGTCTTACTTGAACAGTCTCGTTAAAAACGTGGTCGTCTTATGTATTCTCACAGGAGCACTGGAAACTAGTCCATGCAGCCCCATGCTTAAACGGGTTCCTTTGTGCCTAACAGTTACCAATTTGAAAATTTGCAAAAAAAAACTTGCGCACTTGGACTTGACGTCCCAGTTTTCGCTACGAAGATTTGTCTTCTCTTTTATTTTTATTTTCCTCGTGGGATTATTTGATGCGAGCGATTTGTCGTCCGCTTATCACGAGGTATCTTCCTAGTCTTCGTTTACCTAGTGGAGGCAAGTGAGCCGTAAGAACCAACAAATTACCTAGTGTGTGCATAGTGATGCGATTTACCGGCAATTCTTATTTCCTGCAGTGGTTTATTCTCCCTGTCCATCCCAGTAAAAGGGCTGTACAGTACAATGGAGTTTTAGTACAATCGGAGTATCCTCTACCAAGACGAGCTGCAGTTAAAAATTAGCTATCCTTTTCTGCGTGCAGTAAAACACTTGGTGATCAACGGAGAGCAGCATGAGCTGGGACTCAGCTCGCTGTTTTGCCAAGAGTAAGTTCCAAACTGACGCCATCAGAATGTTGAGTCCGGCACACATTGTCCGACCCATGGTTGAACTAGTATATAGCTTAACCATGGTCCTGCCGTTCCAGTAAGCGATACGAAAAGTTTAAAACTTAACTTTTCTTTTCCTATGACCTATGACAATTATTCTATACGACTGTTTTGTGTTCATCAGAAAGACTAGCAGTCGTTAAAGGATCCCTTTACAACAAGTAAAAGAGCTATGGACCAGAATAGTGCAATTGCTGGAACCCACACTTATGCTCTGGAGACCATGAGGGCCGGCTGCTTCAATTATTTTAACTGCCAAATGCAAAAATATTTGGTAACCAAGCACTGTTACTCACTCCACTGTTATGCCTGCTAATCACCAAAACGTGTTATATGGAGAATAAAAATTCCGTGATGCCCTCAGAGCATGGTTGAACACGGAGGGCATGGTTCAACCATGGCCTCAACGGGCCTAGCTGCGAATCGGTCGACCCGCTGTGACATTAATAATGACGAGTCCGAATATTCCTGCTCTTATGAGCCTCACATTGCCGAATAAGTCCGCGGAACTGGAACACTTTCAATTCTCTTCAGTCATAACGATCATATTAAAAAAATGACCAGGCTATATCCAAGCCTTTGTAACAATCCGTAAAGTTGGTGAAAAGAAAGCGCAAATTACGACGTTAAATGTAAATGACATTGAGAAAAAACTTGTATCGGAATAATTAATTTTGATAAGTGCTTGTATAAGTTGTGTATTAGCTGCCAGGAAGAGGCAGCGATTAATTCGTTTGGATGGGTTGATTAAGTTGAGATCGGTGATTGGATTTACGATACCAATCTCAATAATACACGTTTTAATGCTTAAATATACCTATAAATGATGATTGAAACTTGGTTACAAGGTTCAACAATCCTTATAAGGCATCAACACTCGCGTTATTCAGACATTATTTCGTTCTACGACGTATATGAAAAATTGTGCATTGTAAAAATATGGTAAAGATTAACAGAATGAAAATGCAAATAAATGCTGTGTTTTTATTTTCACTAAAATTTTATTTTCAATTGCGATAGATATTATTTGATCATTTGAATTGAGTAGCCGTATTATCTGCAATGAGCCCTATTTGTGAAATTCTTATCAAACTTTCAAAATTGATCGTTAATTACCGATATTATGAATCAAAATCACACAATGAACTTTAGTCCTGTTCATTTTTCCTCTCATTTAATTTTCATTTTGCAGTCAGCTAAGCATGGGTTAGTTAGAAGAAATCTTTTGTTTTCTCGTTCGGCAACATCGTTCTCCGGGTTCTGTATCTGCTCATGAGTGTTAGTTGTAGTACGTTTGTGTGCTAAAAGTGAATAAATTCTAAAATGGGTAAGTAGGATATATTCAACCCATTTATTTGCATTTTGATTTTTAATAATTTATTCAAAAGTTTCTGTTTAGAATGTAATTTTGTACATTTATAACCGTATAATCGGCTGTAAGCTGGAATACTGAGTCTTACCCAAATTAAAACTAGAATGTGACTACCTAAGAGTTGAACCAACCTAGCTCCCTAGTTTATTTGTGCTCAAGTTTCTCATAATGTAATATTATTAATAAAGTGTAGAGATAGAGCTTTCCTACCACGTTGGGGACTGTGAGTGTGAGAATCCTGTAATTCCTGTTAAATTAAAAACCTTGTATCTAATTGTTATTAAAGTGCATAAAAGTCATGGACATAGTGGCAAAGCATAGAGTTTTTTAGACTCTCCCTCAAGTTCGTTTTTGAGTCCTATAAGTAGACCAGTAAAGTATCATGGATACCAGCATTATCATACATAAGAAATTAGTTTAAATCTTAGGTAGGCTAAATGAGGAAATTAAAAATGAACTGATTCTAAAAAATCTCTGGTTTGTCACTATGGTCACTCATGGAATCACATGGATCATGAGATTCCAATTTCCAAATGCATTCAAAGTTTGTCAGTACTCACTTTAGAGCCACAAGATTTCCAAAATAAGTAGAAAAATTCCAATCCTGTTCAGAGTGTAAGTAGGAAAGTTAAGCATCATAGGACATAGAATAGATACCAGCATTTTTATTTATAAGATATAGGTTAAATGTTAGAATGTTGTTAATGAGGAAATAAATAATGTAATTGATTTTAAAAGTCTATGGTTAGCAATTATGATCCATTTGGAATATTGGACATACCTAAGTTTCATGAAATTACTTTTGAAAATGATTGTTTGTGGAACATTTTCAGAAATTGGGAGTTAAAATAGGTAGTCAGTCAGAGTGGAAATCTAAGATTAGAGGTTCACTTAAAAAAAAGCGTTCCGCCTTGAAAAAAAAAACGTTCCAGGCAAGTGGCAACTAGAAACAGGTTTGCAGGTCGTCAGAAATCGGCCTCGGCATGAACGTTACGTCATGCAACACAGAGAAAATCCCAATATTGTTAATTGTGCGCGTCACTCACGGATAAGCAAGAGGAATCTACTGAAAGACATGTTGTGCTCAGTAGAACACATTGTGCTCAGTAGAAGTTACAAGGTCGCTACTGACACCAGTAGAAACTCATCACTCACAGTCACCGATGCGCAAGGAAGATCTTGGGAAGGCTGCTTAAGCTTTGCGCCCCACATGAACGTTTCCGAGGTCGCCGGTAGAGACGCGTCACTCTCCGGTGGGCAAAGGATATCTTGAGGAGGCCTCACAACGTTGCAGCCGGTAAAGGATGTACTCTTGATTCTGAAAAAAGTTCCATTAGATCTTGCCAATATACTTGAATGCAAAAGTCGCCTATATATGAGTTGATTAAGAGCACTTGATGTATTAGTTGTTCAGAGTTTGACCAGTTGATTCAGAGCACACCAAATTATTCTCATTTACGGTCATAATTAATTTACTCCTTAATTTTTTTCATTATTTCTTAAAATCATACCTGAAACTGATTTGGAAGATATGCTAGCATCCGACTCCCAACCAGCTCAAACAAACGCGGATTCGATTGCATGCAATCTATTCCTTTGTATCATATTAGTTAAACTTTGGAAGTGTGCTGGACATTCCAGATTTTTGGGTCCTGCTTTCCAATTTGCTATGTTTACCAGTTAATATATTACCCCTCTGGATTTCCACACTGTAGTCAGTTCCTCTTTTTTAATGAAGAAATTAGATAAAGGTCATTGAAATGGGTGAAATTGGTAACATTCAAGGGCATTTTGCCCAATTCATTAGAGGCTTGCCCAATTTACTACTTTGGGAGTTGGGACTATGATCACCTCTGTGCTCGGTGCTTGCAGGATTGTAATTTTCTTACTTGATTCTGAAATCTCACAGCTCTGGCATGACAAATTTTTAATACATTTGGAAACTTGCAGCAGGATTGTGCACTTTTGTTAAAAATTAGAGAGGAGCTAATTCATCTGGCAGGAATCTTGTGGTTCTGGAAATGGCAGGAAAGCTCTATTTGCAACCCTGAAGGGAGATGTTTCCCACGCTTATGCTCTTGTATCATCAGCCTTTTAAGAGCTATTTAAAAATAACCAAATCACAACTATCTACTGAAAAAGTGATAGGGTAAACGCAGTATATTCCGACACATTAAGGACGCATTGAGAAATGAAAAACTATAAAAAAATAACCGTATTTGTTACTCAAGTTCTGTTTGCTTTATGTGACTCTCAAAACACCGTACTACGCGCCAGCAACAATGAAACGTCACAAAATGATCCCTATATTCTGACGCTGAGTGGGGCAATATTCGGCACGTGGCGAGGCATATTCCGTCCGCGCTACAAATTCTACTGATACGTAATGCCGTCATCCACGTGTTCAAATTCCGTTCGCTGTGTGAGCTGTATTGGAATACAACATGGCTTTGAATTAGAACTGTCACCATTTCAACCATCAACGAACGCATGGAACTAAAACAAAGCTTAATATAAAGGAAAAACTAGAGAGGTGACAGAATTACCCACGATGACGGAATATACCGCGTTTACCCTATTGAAATGGCTTCATACTTGTTATGTGGTAATCTAACTTCACAAATCTTTTGACCAATGGTATGTGGTTTATTATGAACCATCAAGCAGGATTAAAATATAAAAATGGTGATTCATATATTACTTTTGATTCATGTAGGCCAGTGATCCTGGATCAAAAAATATAGGTTTGAAAAATTGAAAGGTTGTGTTTAATAATTTGAGAAAGTCTTATTCTCTCCTGCAATACCATATGATGTAATTACTTGAAAGTTTGAATAGACGTTCAAAAAATTCAATTAGAATGATATGTATCAGGTCAAGGTAATTATTAAATTATTGAAGACAATGAACAAAATTTGAATAAAATAATTACATATCACGCTTCAAAGCAGTGTTTACTGGCTTACTGCTCAACATGACACTCTTACTGTAAATTAAGATACAGCATTCAAAAACACATGCACTGTGCACAACAAAATCACACATCTCACTGATTGATCCAGACTCTGGTCAGCGGTTGCTGGTGCTTGATGTCATTTCAGTCGGCAGTTGCCAAGTGAGAGAGTTCTCAGTTTCATTATGGAAGATATGGGCATTTCTTTTATATTGAAATCCTTGTATAGTCCTGATATTTTGACAGAAGCATTACATTGAGCTGAAGTTCAAAATTCATGACTTCAAAGGCATTAGATTTCATTCCCACCAAAATGTTGGGTTCAAGTCATGGTATTTTAGAAAAAGTATTGAGGGTATTAATCCTGGTGCTGAATGCTGCTGTAGCTACAATTTTTTTCATTTTTTGGGGGGGGGCCTCTTGTTCTCTTTTTAGATGCTTTTTGCCTTCTTGCAGAACCCTAAAATGTAGCAAGCATAAGTATACGCAAAAGATATTATTTTTTGTTTTGTTAAATTGTTAGTGGAAAACGATTTTAGATGTAAGCAACATTTTCTACTTTGTAGGTTGTGGCAACACCAGCATTATCATACATGCAAATTCATGGTATCATCACTCAAATTTTTAATGATCCCAAAACCCAAATTTCTTAATTTCACTTTAAATTGACAAATATTTGCAATAGATCAATTTTGTGTAAATATCTGTTAATACTGCAATTTAATTATGTTATTCATGTTAACAATTTGAATGAAAATACATTGTTACAGATAACACCTAAATTCTCAATTTGCTGCCCTCTTCCTGGATTTTAAACACACACTCAATTTAAATCACTTGATGTGCTATACCAATCAAAAATAAAACCATATGAAAATGATTTTTAAATTTTTTTAATAACTTTTAGCTCTAATGTTGTTTAAATATTTCCAATCCTTATCCTTCCAAACAAATATGTGTAGAAAATAGAATAATTTATCATTACTGGGAATGTAAAATATTTTATTGCAAGCGAGCTTTTATGTAATCATACATGTTACACCAGGGAATTTCTTTATTTAGTATGTATATATTATGTATGTAATAACCGTATGTAACTGTTGAGGTGCTTTCTGATGAACAATTTCCATAGTAATACACACAGTATGGCTGCCTGTCTTGATCTATTGCTATTTGACTGTGTATCCCTATTCTAGCTGTAGTCGTGTTATTTCATGCTTGGCGGGATTTTTTTTATCAATTTAAATATCTTCCGATTTGTTTTTTCTTACTGAAATTATAAAAACCTCTTTGAAGCAAAGCCCCAGAGCATAAAAGTTTCAGGTCACCAACTCAATCTCAACCAACGACTCGTGTTTTTTTTTATATCCCAGTCATTCATAAAATACCCAGAAATAACTTGAATTTGTTGTTGCAGGTAAGCCGCGCGGTATCCGCACAGCTCGCAAGTACAAGAACAATCGCCGCAGTCAGAGATGGCACGACAAGGACTACAAGAAGGCACATCTCGGCACCCGCTGGAAGGCTAATCCTTTCGGTGGCGCTTCTCACGCCAAGGGCATTGTGCTCGAAAAAATGTGAGTTGAAACAATTTATACTTGATAATACTTTTATGCAAACCAAAATTATTATATTTATGGATTTTAGAATACTCCATTATTCAATAAAAGGCTGCCTCGGTCTTTAAGGGGACCGACCTGGCTAAAATTTTCAATTTTGGCGTTTTCCACTTTTTGGGCTCATCTTAAAGCTTACTTTTTGACGAATCCAACGGTGCCAGAATCATCCCTCTACGTCGAAAAATGATTTCGTGACAGCTTCCCAAAGAAGGGCAGTTTTTAGGCCCTTTAACAAATGTCTATGGGATTTAATTACAGGGCTGGACAAACTAAAAGAAACGCCTAACGTAAAGCGGCCAATCATGGCATTATCCGGTGCTTCCTTACTCGACAACTCCCAACGTCGCACTGACGCGGGCGCAGTGTACCGAAAACGCTATACTCGTGTATAGGCTCTCAGCCTGCAAAACTGTAGTATACGCAACCAATATACGCAGCTAATAGCCCTGTGTATAAGCACCTATAGATATTTTACAACATGCACAAACGGTAGCCGCTAAGTACTGCCAAATATATCGGGTTGAAGTTGCAGCATGAGCTGCATATTTTATATGCAGCTTTCTGCTTAGTCATTTTATCAGTTCTCATACTTCCTTGTGTCTATTTATTTTTCGCTTACTATTAATCTTATGTGTGACGTGTCCCGAAGCCTGTCTGGACCAGACGCCACGATAACTGCTTCGTAGAATAATAATAAAAATAACAATAATAATAATTAATAAAAATTTTAGCTTTCGAATAAAAATAAACTCATTTCTCAACACCATGTATCCACACTATAAGTTTATGAATATATCCTACGGTTTGTAGGTGATGTTAGTAAGAAAAAAGCAAAGAATGGTGCATTTGATTAGGGATAGTTTTTGCCAATGCTGAGTCACGAATCGATTGCTAATGAAAACCAGTCTAGAAGTAGTAGTTACGGTGCCCCGTATGTTTGCGGGTAAAGCCTCTGTCTGATTGAGCTATTTTTCAGAGGTATTGAGGCGAAACAGCCCAACTCGGCCATCAGGAAGTGCGTGCGCGTGCAGCTCATCAAGAACGGCAAGAAGATCTCAGCATTCGTGCCTCGTGACGGTTGCTTGAATTTCATCGAGGAGAACGACGAGGTCCTGGTCGCTGGATTTGGTCGTAAAGGTCACGCCGTTGGTGATATTCCCGGTAAGTTATCGACTTGAACTGTCGCCGAATCGTAGTTCTTTTTTAATGACTCGTGTATGTATAAATTTATATTTAAAATTATTGATGCTTTGATTTTTATGGGAAATGAATAACGATCTGCCAATGCTAGTGACACATTCACGTAATTACAAATAAAATATATATGTTTATGCTAATGTAACTGACGTATCGATGTGGCCGTCACGTTCGTTGTTGCCGGGCAGTTGGCGCAAGATAATTCTTGATAATCAGCCTCACCTGAAATTTCGTGTTCTATAAGTAATGTAATTTCCTCACCATATTAATTTCCGACGAATAATGAACGAGTCAAAGGTGGTGTCCTCATATGGGAAAACTTGTTTACATCCAGTAAAGAGTATAGTTGTAGAATACAGTAGAGAACATAGCCATCTAAACTGAAAGCATCGACTCGCTAGCTGCACTGTTCATTTGGGCATGGGGCTCGCTAGCAGCGTTGTATGATCGTCACTGATGTCCTCCAAACCCTATCTCAGGTATCCGCTTCAAGGTCGTGAAGGTCGCCAACGTGTCCCTTCTTGCACTTTACAAGGAGAAGAAAGAAAGACCGCGTTCTTAAATAAACGTGACTCGTGAAATTCAATTTAATTTCCCCCTGACCCTGTATGTAGCTCACTTTCAATATAAGGTTGCCTCATTATGATGCAAGAGCATTTATGAGCATTTCTGCACCGCTATTGGCTTAAATCGTGCAAAACATGTCGCTGATTCAAATGAAGACCAAGCTGCGAATGTTTGGAGCTACTCCTTTTTGTGCCAGTCTTCCCACGTTATAATGGAGTGTAATCAGAATTAGTCTCGCCCATCATTGCAAATGAAACACCGTATGTCTGGCCAGTTCCATATTTTCTACAGGGGAGTAAATAATAGCGAGTACCAGGACACGTCTAGTTGAGCACTCTTGTAGCAGTTGACACGAATACGTCAGGTTGATCAGTCGTCGTGGACAACTCATATCGTCGAAGATCTGTTATCAATCAGGCATAATTTCTTGTAATGTAGATTTGCACCTATTGGTATGGTTTATTCGTCTGAAATTGTATATTAAACTGCGAATCTTGACAAAATTAAGCTGGAATATGTGAAACTAGCATTAGGAAGGCAAGGTGAGTTTGGAACAAGTGAAACTCTGCCCCTTGCTTCTTGAACAGAACCTTATTCGCCCTCATAATGTGCTTGCGAATCACTCTTACCTAACGCCATTCGTTCTCAAATGAAACGCGCCTTAGATATTGAAAATGCATGGAAGAGCTCGCACTCCATGTAAAATAAGCTTCGGTATTGCACATGTTGCGATTGACTTAACCTTTCTAAAAAATATCTACTAGTTAATTATTTCAGTGATGAGATAGAAGGCATCAGTCGAGTAAGCAATTACATTATGATAAAATAAGAATTTAACGCGGATCTAGGCGAGCTCAATGAAATTTCGCGTAACTGGGTCGTTGTTCAAGTCCTCAGGCATGAAATATGCGGCGGGCATTTTCATTTTTTTTGCATTACCTGTAATGTTGCCCGGCCAAAATAAAGTTTGTGAGCTTGAGCTGCCTGGCTTCCCGCGAAGCGTCGGTTGCGCATTTCTTTCCTTGCAATGCTTCATTGGAAACTGACGTTGACCGTGAGCTTTCATCAGCTCCCGCGACTGAGCCTCCAGACTTCCCTTGTGTGGCTAGACGAAATTGGCGTGGTGGTCTGTGAAGATAAACCTCTGGAGTTCCCTCCGTTGCAACAGTCCGCCGCGTACGTTTTGCCAATATCTTTAACCCTCTACCGCCTGACATGAGTAACCGGAACAATATTGTGGCAAGCCTGCTGCCCAAAAAGGATAAGTTCTAGCGAGCGCAACATGACACACTGATGGTTGCCGCCCCGTACTACAATTTTTTTAAAAGTGTTTTCTGTTGCGTACAAACGTCCTCAGGTTGCTACACTCAATAGTTTGCGTATAATTTAAGTTAAAAGTTATTTTCCCTGAGAGTAACATACGGCGGTAGAGGGTTAATTGACGTAATACCTCTGTCGACGGCTATGGACGGGTGCGGCCACCAGATAGTGGTCCTAGAGCACCATCCTCGATGATGGAACCGTTTCCGACGCTGAATGCGTCTGGACTTCATGTAGTCAAGTAAAATTAGTTACTTGCCAGCCTGCGACTGGCGAGGCAGGAGACGAACGTTTGACCAAAGCTAGTCCCAGCGAGTCTGCCACCAGCACGTATACCCATCAACCTTAGATCATCGTATGACCTGCCATCTTATCAGGCTGTGACTTCATATCGACTAAACCGTTTAAGTTGGGTCCCGCCGAATATTTTCTAATTTATATTTGCTGTTGATATTTTCTAGCTCATATTCTTGAACCAAAGAGTTACCGTCTCGCACCTAGCCGGATTAGTTAAATCATTCTTCATAGTAGTTCTTAGCTCATTAAATAATGTACGTGCTCTCTGTTCCAGATTGGTATCTTATTTCTTTATAACTTGAACCTTCAAAGAAGTATACGATATAGCTCTCTAGGAAACGCGTTGCGCCACATCTCCCTCAACGATGCTCTTTGTGGAGTCAAGTTACAACGTACGTCGGTTTCTTTTCAATTCTGTTATTCAACTAGGGCACGAGCGATGTCTACTGAGCAAGCTCTTCTCCGACCCTTCGTCTCAGCAAGGTTGAATTCGCTTCTTTCTTGCCAGCGTAGAGGTCATTTTGGACCTTCCAATCTTAGAACTGGCATCAAACGATAGCAACAAGCGAGACCTCTCACCGACTTGGTAACGATCTCTGGTAGAATGGCTCATAAGTCGATGCGCTGTAGAAACTTTCGGTCTATTCTGTCCCCACGACTCAACTATTTGCTTATCAATGGTGAGCTAACTACAGCGCATTATATGTATTTTGTCGCATTAGAACTTTGCAGGAATGTACGGACTAACTTCAGTGCTTCTTTGGGATTCAGTCTCATCACCTCAATAAACGGAAAAAGTGACCGAAAGGCTTTAAATGAAGACAGGTAGCAAAATGTCAAGCAAATTACGCAATACATCTGGCTCGAAGTAAACTTGACTATTCCTACTCCTGCCTAGGCGGCACACAGTGAAATCTGATGGAGAACAGTACGCCATTTCTTCACATAACGCGCGAACTAAGTTTGCGCCTCACCTTCAAAAAAACCCTCACCGATACAGTTAGGAACTCAAACCCAACGAAATATCCAAGTCAACTTGTAGACTTTCGCGAAAACTTTCATTGTAAAACAATCTCGAGATAGGAAAATTAAAAATAAGTGAAGCCCCTCTTCTCCCTTATATTTGAATTCTAACTCAAAATCATAAGTAATCAGAATAGAAATAAAAAAAAGCAGCACACGTAGTCTCGAATACTGCTATAATCACGCAAACGTGTCGGTTAAATTCATTGAAAAATTATGCTAAATTCACTGGGATGTTTGCCCCCACAGCAAGTTTTGCATCGATGAATCAAGCTTGAGAAAGTTATTTCTGAAGCATAAATGACATTCATGGCAAACCACGAATTTAGCGAGGCTTTGAAAACAGAGCAATGTTGTAGGAGGGAGGGGCAGTGAATATTTGTTGTGCAGCAGGCGCCTCAGTGTAGCTCCTTGCTGCCTGAACTGCCCACCAGCAGCGTCAACTTCTCGTTCAGTGAAACATTCACCTTCGTCAGTTGTGACAGATACACAACCATCAACAGATCCTGAGAACCAACGTTGTGATTAGGTAGGAAAAATTCAGAAAATGTTGGCCGAGTAGTTTGATGTAGAGATTCGAAAAAATGGCATGCACGCTTGATGTATAAGTGTAATGAAGATTCTGACGAAATCATACTGTAAATAATATGTTTCACATATACAAAAAAGTATATAAATAAGCAAATAAATTTGCTGTGCACCTTCATGTTTGTGTTGAGCATCTCCTCGAACTCGCCCGCGGCCATCTGGGGCACCTGGTTCACCATCCTGGTGAGCTCCCGTCCGATCTGTGAGTCCGCGGGACACTTCCCCGCCAGCACGTCCTCGATGTAAGCTGCCACAACCACGCCCATTAACGACCAACACAGGACAGGGAGCCACAAGAGCTCTCTTTCTAATAAGATATAAGCTGCCACAACCACGCGCATTAACGACTAACACAACACATGGAGCCACACGATACCAATTTTTCTTCAATAAACAGCGCCTTAACTCAACAAATGAAATTATCGGATTTGAGTCCTTCATAACCAGTGCACTGATATTGCTTGTTTGTACCTCGGCACAACTGTGGATACGTGACCAACGTTCGATCCCTCACCAGCACGTGTACCACACAACTAGAAAAGATAACATTTGCCTGTAAGTAAACTCACCGAGCAAAACGCCAAGTTGTGCTTCTATCTTGGAGGATGCGTCAGCAATGAGCTGCAAGTCGGAGCAAGGCTCCACCAGGCTGCGGTTTGGTGCTTTGCTCTTCTGGGAAGCACACACTGCACGAAGTCAAATTATTTCGTTAATAAAACAATCTTGACCCGAGTGACAGCACCTATACTCCTGCAGTTACAAAGTTAAAGAAGTGCCGATTCTTTTATGAGCCGATACTTGCGACTTTGGCAGGATGAGGCATGAGCACAGGGAACAGATGATCGATTTCATACCCATAAATGGTTGCTGTTTCTGTTGCTGGCAAAAGATATGGCTGTAAGGTGTAATTTTGCCATAACAAGGGAAGAAAAACCGTGTGAAGGAGAGAGAGCAGAGAGACCTGAGAGCCGCTAAAAGGAGAAGACCAGAAACGAGAAGGAAAAATGTTTGGGAGGAAAAGCTGTGTACCACACCAGTGAAGCCACATGTTCCCAAATCTTTATAAGGGATGGAGCACGCGCTACGGCGCACAACAGGCTACAGTCTGTTGCTTCAACCATCAACGGTCACCCAAATGAGAACTGCGCTGGTTGAGTGTGATGTCGGGCAGTGGCAGCACAGAGCAGTTTTGCTCCTGCCAGGACAGCTGAAACACTAACTCACCTCCCACAACCTCAGGCGCCAGAGAAGTGATCTCCGCTGGTATGCTGGCAAACATCGTGGCAGGAGTTTTACCCGGCAGGCCAATCAACATACTGGTGTAGGCCTGGGAAGGGACACACATATGTCAAGTATCTGAACTGGTAACATGTTATTCCAGATAAGCTGATATCACTAAACAACCAAACACAAAATAATGACTGGCAGGTCCTAAATTCAAAGACAATGCAGGGAAGGGTAGTACCTAGGAATTTTCTGTCCTGAAACATTGCAGCGTTACATACCAAAACACTTCAAGAAGCAAGAGCTCATTGCAAAATAAACAAGAAACTTTTAAAAGTACAGAAAGATTTTTCTCCACCTACTCACAATCCTAAAATGCTTTCTGAGTGTGATAATCATTACTGCAAATAGCCTATGATTCAAGCAACGTTTCTGTGAACTTAAAAGTCTTAACTGATGAGCATAGACAAACTAGTACAAACAAATTAACATGAACATTGATGAATTTCTTACCTTCATTTCAATTTTTCCTTTCTTCAAGGTAGTGTCAACAGTGATGTGCAATGGTGATGTGGTGACCCGGCAGTAGTAGTCATGGATGAGGAGGCTGTGGTCAGTGATCTCGTGGCCGGTCGCCCACCACCCGACTATAGACTCGCCTGGAGATATTTTGCGGTGCAAGTCATGCATGTCCTTGGCAAAATCCAGCTCCACAGCAACCTGAAAACAGAAAGAAAGTTACAGCAATATATCTCTAAATTATACCATAGCAGCAGTGTATGCTGAACTACATTTAAATATTAAACATATTGTATACCTATGTATGATTAAATCATTCTATGTTTACCTTTAAGCAAGATAGGCAGGATAAGTCAGAGAACTAGTCAAGTGAACTGCAATATCAGGCATATACAGTGGGGGGAAATAAATATTCGTACACTTGAAAAATCGTATTTTAATGTATGTAAGTACACAAACTTAACAGGAAAAATGATTTAAATTATGTATAGAGACGCATAGTATTCAAAAATACTATCAAAAGAAATTAAATCTCAATGCAACAAAAAACAATGCAACATGTTCACTTTTCGGGTGAAAAAAGTATTCGTACAAAACAATAAATCCGCATTATTTAAATTTAATACTTGGTTGAATACCCTTTATTCAGCTCAACAGATACCAGTCTATTTCTATACGTCTCGACCAATGATTTGCAGATGCTGACTGGTATTTTATACCATTCTTCTTGGCACACCACCGTAAGATTCTCAATGTTTGTTGGGGACCTTTTCTTAATTTGAATCTTCAAATACCGCCACAAATTTTCCATCGGATTTAAGTCTGGCGACTGGCTTGGCCATTCCATAATGTGTACATTTCTATCAGCGAACCATTTCTTTGTGGATCTTGCAGTTCGAAAAGTGAACATGTTGCATTGTTTTTTGTTGCATTGAGATTTAATTTCTTTTGATAGTATTTTTTAATACTATGCGTCTCTATACATAATTTAAATCACTTTTCCTGTTAAGTTTGTGTACTTACATACATTAAAATACGATTTTTCAAGTGTATGAATATTTATTTCCCCCCACTGTATATACTGGCTCAGGGTCTACAATCTACATATACAATGATGAATTTTTTTAAATTTTAGTTTATGTTGGACACAAAAGCATGGACATTTTGTTGCACTTTTCCACATGTAAGATTCTAGTGCAAATAAATTTTCCTATTTTTGTAGCTAACACAAACATTCATCAAAGAAAAAATCTTGAATGGTCCAACTTGCCTCTTCTTGAGATTCATTATGTGGCACGCAGAAACAATTGGTGACTTCAATGCAGCCTTTGTCATATGAACCTGCACAAAAATTATTAAAATTGAAAAATCACAAATCACATTATTAGGGTTTCAAGTTTCAAAAAATTGCAGGTTTGGGAAAACTCTCTCAATGGATTTTGACACAAGATACTGGTATCTGGTGGTCATTCATTTAATTTTGTTGCGATATAACAGGTCTTGAATGACTAAAGAACAAGTTGGAGGGCCTAGTAAGGTATAGATAAACTTTTAATAGGTGGGTTTTTTTTCTACCCACTTTTGCCATGGATTGTTTTCAGAGTCTGGAACTATACAGTAGGTACATGATTTTCAATATCAAGATGAATTTATATAATAATTAGGGGAAATTTCTGATGTTAGTTTGGCAATTGGAATTGGAATTATGCTTATGATCACAAGAATAACAGATTCTTAAAAGATACACTATCTTTGCATAGCCCATTTTCAAGACTTTCATACAAAGTATACTTGTAAGCTATAAATGTATAGTCACAGGCTCTAAAAACAAATGCAACAAATTAAGGTAAAAAAATTAACAAATTCTCTATACTGTCAAAAGGGGGAATGAGGGATAGTTTTGAGCGTTTTTTGTTAATAACTTCTTACCATGAAACATTTCATAAACAAGTTTAGGCTCATTTTGTAGCTCTTTGTGAGGGCTATCAAATAGCATCTTCAAAAAAAATTCCGTAAGCTATTTGTAAGGTGCCAGACGGCAGACACAAAATAAAACCGTCCTGAATTACCCTTGGGAATGGGGTTATCCGGGACACTAGAAATAAAACTCAATTTTAAAATGTTTGAAGCATGCAAAGTGTACTCATCCATTACTAACAGTACTCTGAAGTTCTCCTCTTTCATTGTAGATGATGTTGATGTAGAATAAAGACGTTTTCTATGTTTTTTACTTGCTTATCCTTTATTGATATGATATCACCATATTCATTCATTACAGTATTATTGATGTGATATTACCATATCCACAAACATGCCATTAAGCATTTACAACAACAAAGTCTACTGCAAGCTTCATATCAGCAGCTGTATAACATTTCTTCTGTATCAGTAAGCTTACAGGATGGCTTGTAATTTCACACCATTTCAATTTTTGATTGTGTTAAGTGCCAAAACATCCACGTATAGCCAAAACAGAAAGTAATGTTTCAGAAACAACCATCATATGTTTTGGAGAAACAAAACGTACTTTAGGTTAATTACTTTTTATTCTATGATGCCCAGTGCACAATTCTATACATGACATTCTGTGCACAATTTTGTGATGACTGATGATGCATTAATTTTTTTATAGGTGAAATTTTTTTGCTAAGCGAGGTACATATAATCAAAATTCTTTGTTGTTAATCAATATTTTTGTTAACTGGAGCCTTTGCTAACTGAGGTTAAACTGTAAATAGCAGACTACAGAGTTTTCCACATCTTTTGTAATTTTTTTTTTTTTTTGTTAATCACTGGATTCACTGCCCTGACTGCCCTTCTAGAAAATGAGGAGAAACCACTCATTAATGAGACAAAAATATCTGTGTTTGCAGTTAATTTAGGGTAAACGCGATATATTCCGACACTTTAAGGACGCATCGAGAAATGAAAAACTATAAAAAAAACGTATGCGTTACGTAAGTTCTGTTGCCTTCACATGACTCTCAAAACACTTCACTACGCGTCAGCAACGATGAAATGTCACAAAATGTTGCCATATTTATTAAAAAGCCTTTAGAATGGAAACCTACCAAATCCCTATATNATTTTCATTCAAGGATTACAAAGAATATTCATTTCTTTTTGCCATTATCCCAGTATTGATGCGAACATTTAAGTAAATTAGTTTATCTTACCATTTACTCGAAGCGACCGAGAGTAGTAATGGAATAATTTTGATGTTCAAATTATTCAATGTCTTTCACTGTAATGTTTAGAGTGGTTTTGTCCATCCTCATATTGCATCAGTTCTGTCTCTTATACACATCTAGATGTGTATAAGAGACAGGTCCAATCATAGTGGCAAACCAGAGCTTTTTTAGAATCAGTTCATTTTTAATTTCCTCATTTACTCAAGATTTAAACCAATTTCTTATATATGATAATGCTGGTATCCAGGATACTTTATTGGTCTACTTATAGGACTCAAAAATGAACTTGAGGGAGAGTCTAAAAAACTCTCTGCTTTGCCACTATGCATGATACTTTACTGGTCTACTTATAGGACTCAAAAATGAACTTGAGGGAGAGTCTAAAAAACTCTCTGCTTTGCCACTATGCTGTGTATTCTCGCTCCCATGAATTGCGTGTTTAGTGTATGCATCATCGAAAAGTATGCTTGACAGCGTAGTCACGGTAGCTGTAATTACTTTATTAAGTTTACTTCTTTGCAGTGATATTAAGAAAGAAATCTTTAACAAACTAATAATTTGTATAATTTTAATTGTTGAGTGAAAGCTGCGCCTGCAGCCTTGCTGGCATGCAACATTTCCAAGTGAGTTAGCCTACTTTTAGTACTTTATAGAAACTTAGCATACCCATACGTGTTTTAAGCCTATAAGAAGTTAATTTTTTTGCCTGAAATAATGTTGTATCGAAAAACTGGTGTAGGTGTATCGGGAATAATATATGAACAGTCAATATTAGAATTCCATCCTGTCCAGGGTAATCGCAATTTCACCTATTCTTATAGCCTTTTCCTAATTTCTTCTAAAAAACATAAGAAAAATGGCCCATTTTAATCAGCAATTTTGAAAAATAAAGAATGAAACTATTGCTTTTAACAACAATTTTAGAAAAATTCTGCCCAACATTTCAAAGAGGATTTTTATTACCCCAGTCTGATTTCTTCCACTTAGAAATAAAAGAAACAGTACATTTTTACTACTTATTTTCAGAAAGTTCTTCCTGACATTGCACACTGTTTTGGTAGACTAGTTGGTTAATGTTGCAAAATAGGATTAGCTAAAGAGTTGGGAAAAAATCCAGACTCCAGAAGCATTTTTCATGTCTGGCTTACATTCAGATTCAGTGGTTAGTAAATTGTGTAAATTACTAAAGCTACAATTTGTATACCCTGGCTCAAAGCTCAGCAACATATTTACCTATGTAGACTTCTAAGTTATTCTTACCCAAAAGTGTTCCGATAACACGATGTGCATCTATGTTTCGACGCTCGTATGCATCGACAATCGTGTAATAAACAACTGGATGAACTTTGGCTGTTAAATTGAGCGCCATGTTAGACTTCACGTAATAATTTCCAGGGTTAATATGAGCAAGAGTTTGAGTTCTAAACGCGAAAAACAACAACCAAGATTCCGTACTTTGTCAATTCCTGCAATTCGTCCAGTAGGATAAAATTAATACTCTCGTTCAGCTTGCCGCACCACAAGCCACACCACACGTAACCCTTAATGAGCCAACTGTGAAAAGTAGCTCCGAAAAATACTCAGCATGTAAGTGAACTTCACAAAAAGATCCCCACAAGTGAGCTCACGTTAATCCCTTTTTTCCATTAAAATCTCAGTATTCGTTCAATCAGAACAGATTGTCGAATAAATCATATTACGTGCTTAATCTTAGATACACAGATCATTCGAAATAGATCGTTTAAAATTCCATTAGTTGGCAAAGGCTACCTGATCACATTATAGCAAACTTCACATAACTTCTAATGATTAATGACATGGTTGAACTAGTATAAGGTTGACCCATCAGAAGCCCATTTTTGCGGATGTAGTGCGTTGTTCGCCTGTGACGTCATTGATCTCAGTGACGTCACGGGCATTAACCAATCACCGAAATGCGATCAAACCAGTCAACCAATCCGTCGTGCGAATGACGGGTTTGTTTACGTTTCGCGATCTACGTGACGTTACAAGAAAGCTGAACTGAAAGACGGAACTTCTCGTGGGTCAACCTTATATAGTTCAACCATGATTAATGAACCAACGATAATTATATTAATGCCTAATTTAGATTAACTTCTATAATTTATTTCATTTACATATTTTGCACACTTTTCTTTTAGGAAATTTTTTCCCTAAACATAATTACATGGTAATTCATTTTTTTACAATGCAACTTCTGCCCATGGTGCTTCTACCTAATTTCACGCTTTATTTACTGCACAACTTGTGTAAACCAACCTTGCACTCTCAACCAAAGAAAATTTCGAGCACGTTTGACAAACATATTTTCTTCCTTTCGAGAGTCCGCAGAACATATTTAGAATGAGAATAACATGAAAATATTAAAGTTATATTGCTCATCTAACGTTGAAGTCAGCCAACCTCTGCCTTTTCCAATAGTACTATATTTTATCAAAATGCGCAATATTTCATGTAATAAGAGCTATGCTAATGTTCCGAAAGTTTTTAGCAGCGTCTTTACGGACGAAGACTGTAACAGAATGCTTTTTTTGAGGAGCGCTCAGTGGCTTGAAGTTAAAAAGTTTTGAAATACAAGACGAGGTTCTCAATCGTCCCTGTCACCATCAATTCAAGCAAATCATGTGGACCTGATGACATCCACTCCAGATTACTCAAAGAATTAGCAATCTTGCGTCCTGCCCTTTAACTGAATTAAAAAATAACATAGGAGCTTGGTCGCCCGATTGGAAAGAAACTCAAGTTGCATTATTGTTCAAAAGGTTGACAGTAGCTCGGGCAATTATCCCCCTGTCAGTATCTAGTGTTGTTTGTAAGTAAATGCTCTCTGTTGAGGGATAATGTGATCGATCATTTGACTGCTAACCATCTTCTCTAAAACTGTAAAGATGGCTTCATTGCCGGCAGATCTTGTCCCACTAACCACTTGTCTGCCTTAAAATGCTTGTACACCAGGACAGTGCAGGCGGCAAGTAGATCTGGCAAATAACGGCCTCTTGGTGACTATCCAGTAAAGTAAGTAAGCCTGTACACGAGGACAGTACGAGGTGCCGATATCAAGCGTTGAAACTCTTTCGCGCTTGCCAGTGCGTCGTTAGAAGCCGTCGGGTGAAGTCTGTGTATATAGATGGTGGGATCACCTTCAACAATTCGAGTCTGTACGTTGTTTTTATACTCTTTATTCTAGCCTTTATGCAACGTCGGGAACAATTAAACCCGACTAATAAGGTCTTCCTTCAGTTTCAAAATACTCGTTTCTCTCATTTTGTTGGAGAACCCAGCATGCCGAACATTCCACATTAGATCATATTTTTGGAATATTTCAAAGAACAGTGGAATATCGTCGGGAATCCACTTTGTTGGGTTCTTCTAAGAAACATTATCGTTCAAACAAGAATGATTCACTTGACCCAAGATGCTTCACAAGAGCGGCACAGATACCCTCACCATGGCTGAATAAGCGCTACTAGCCACTTTTCCGGCGAAGAAAACACATTGTTGTCCCTCTCGGCCGCGTCTCGGGCACATGCCTATGAAGCGGCTGAACCCCTCTAGACGAGGCCAGTAGCGTGGACAGTTCAAGCGGCGGATGAAATGGTGGCCAGTACTGTCCCCGTGTACAGGCACCTTTGAATGATTGGACACTCCTACTGGACGAATGATAGCTAAACATGCCTGTACACGGGGACAGTACTGGCAGCCAGTTCATCCGCCGCATTGACTGTCCAAGCTATTGGCCTCGTGTAGAGGGGTTCAGCCGCTTCAGGGGCATGTACCCGAGACGCGGGCGAGAGGGACAACGATGTGTTTTCTTCGCTGGAGAAGCGGCCAGTAGCGCTGATTCATCCATGGTGATAGCATCTGAGCCGCTCTTGTGAAGTATCTTGGGTCAAGTGAATCATGGCTTGTTTGAACAATAATGTTTCTAAGAAGAACCCAACAAAGCGGATTCCAGACGATATTCAATCATTCTTTGGAATATTCCAAAAATATTAACTAATGTGGAATGTTCGCCATGATGGTTGCTCCCACAAAATGGAGACAGTTACGAGTATTTTGAAACTAAAAGAAGACCTTATTAGTCAGGGATTAGTTGTTCCAGACGTTGCATTTTTAAAGGCTAGAATAAAGAGTATAAAAAGACGTACAGACTCGAGTTGTTAATTAAAGGTGATCCCACTAGCCATCTTCGCAGACCTCACTCGACGGCTTCTAAAGGCCCGTTCACACTAGGGGCAACATGTGGTGGGTGCAGAGGTGGGTGTGGTGGGTGCAAAGGTGGGTGTGGTAGGTGTAGTAGGTAAGGTGTAGTCGCTCTCCGCCCTTCAGTGTGACGCTAGGCGTGGTCAGTGTAGGTGGGGTTCGTAAGTTCGTTCTCTTGCATCGTACGTGGAGTGGTGGCAGTTGCTCTGTGTCATGCCATTGTGAAGACTCCTAAGTGTTTGTGTGCTTACTATCATGACTCGAGAAAGTGAAGCAAGGCACACGTTTAAGGTCAGGATAAAGAGAAAACTTCAACAAAGCTCTAGGGAAGCCGTGCGCTCTCCTTGCTGCTGCTCTCTGTTCCATTCGTTTAGTGCTGTGCTCGTCTCTTTAGCTGTCATCATCTCTGGCTTTCCCATGTTCTCTTTTGCTCTCGAAAAGGTAATTCATGTCAATTGTTTGTACGTAGTTTTACTGTATAGCTAAAACGCTGTGTGCCCGTGAGCATGCCACCTCTATTCACGTCTGCTCTGATAATATTACCTTTAGTTATTTTCTTCTATTTTTTCCGATAATTTCTATGACAGGTGTATTGGCTCACCAATGTATTGTTAAGATGTTTACCTAATAATAGAATGAAAGATGATTGCCTAGCGGGAGGTAGATAATGATCGATATGGCTTCATTCAGCCCGTCGTGCAAGTTGCTACGTGTAGTGGCAGGGGGAGGGAAAGAGAGGGTGAATAGTCGACGATGTGGAGTGCTGGACGTGAGTACTGAGTACCACAGCTGCCTGGGGCCTTGATGCTGCCTTGGGCCTTCATGCTGCCTTAGGCCTCGATGCTGCCTGGGGTCTTGATGCTGCCTGGGGCCTTGATGCTGCCTTGGGCCTTGATGCTGCCTGGGGCCTTGATGCTGCCTGGGGCCTTGATGCTGCCTTGGGCGTTGATGCTGCCTTTGGCCTTGATGCTGCCTTGGTGCCGGTACAGTCATATTAAGTCTTCACATTTTATACGTGGGACCTTCCTGGAAATCTGTCGCGTGGGTTGCGTGTGGCTGTTAATATGCCGAGGAAATCAGTAAAGAAACGCAATTCCAACACATGTAAATGCACGGCTCTATTCTATAGTGCCATTTCTTTGCTTTCTTCCAGTGATCGTTGAGAGCGAAGTACCGTACTCTATGAATGGCAACTGCACAGGGCAAAAGTAATTTAAATGTCAGGAGCTAAGTCCGCAGACTTATTTCTTATTCCCACATTAATTGCTACTGATCGCTACCTTTCATAACTGCCTACTGGTGCGGGTCTCAGGTTTTATTCACTCCTGAAATTTTTATAAACGATTAAACATTTATGTAAATGAGCCTAATTACCTGAAATAAATTATTTAATTGGTATTCCAATATCTCAAATGTATATATATACGTTATCTCAAATGTATATAAATTTACGATGTCAATGTATATTAAATAACCAGTAACACATTCACGGGATATATTAAGAATATGGCTCTTTGATCGGGGAATTGTTCGGAATGATAATTCGCTGTAGATTGTAACGGTTTCTGAAACAAAGAATGATCAATTGGAACACAAAATTGAGTTTATTCGAAATTATAAACAATATAGAGAAAATAATCAAGGTAAAAAACAAAAAACTGTCATAACACAAGTAAATTATAACGTACCAAATTGCTGAACAATCTATGGCAAATTTGGTTAAAACTGAATTTTGCCCGAGCTTATCAACTCTGGTCCTACCTAAAAGGTCCCAACCTTATGTACACGGGAGAAGTATGTTCAGTAAAGTTCTTTACAGGATATGTTTCCTGATAATGTTTAAAGCCACGAACGAGGAATTGCTTTGTAAAAAGAAACTAATTGACTCCAATGAGAAACATGCAATACAGGGCTAAAGTTATTAGGAAAATTCATGCTCATGTCAAATTTTTACCGCAATGAAAAACGGTATTTACGTATATTTACAACTTAAATGATAAACAGTACTAGTGCATCCACGCTACCTCAAAGAAAAACGGTGCTTATTTATAATTACTACCTCATAGGAAAATATATAATTGATTATTAAGATCGGTATTCATTTCCTTGGCATCTAAACGCTTCTTTCCATCTTATACGCATGCTCGGCGAGCCGTGCATAAGCGTGGCCTTCTGCTATGTTTACTTTGTTGAAGTAACAAAGTTTCTCTTTGAAGAATGGAGGCGTTGTGAGCGTTCCTAATTACTGCAATTAGTCAAGCTAACGCAGGTCCGCAATAACTGATCCGCCGCTCTGCTTTCCGTGCTGCCAGTACGAGATAG